CACCACCACCACCACCACCACCACCACCCCATCCCCCCAAAAAGTGTAGCTACGCCCCTTGCTGCCTTTGGTCAAACTTTGAAAAAAATAATTATTCCAACTGTGTTTGTGAAGGACTCTCAGCTACTACCACCTCAAATTGTAGCTCGATATCTGTAAAACTGACTGAGTTATATTAATCTTTGTGTTGGTTAAGGTCAATTTTCTGGTAGTTTTATTGCAATATGTCCAGTGGTTTATGAGATATTTAGCTAACAGACAAACAAGGTTAGCGATAATAAATAAAGGTTTAAAGGGTTTTTTCAGTACAAACACATAATGTGATAGGATAGATAAATAGCTCAAAAGCTGCCCTTGCTTGGGTCAAATTGACCCTTGAGACCCCTACTTAGCCTCCGGGAGTCAGCAGCAGCAAGGAGGGGTGACGGGGCGGAAAACAACCGGCGGCACTGCGCCTTTAATCAGTCCTCCTCCGGCTCATCCACCGTGTTGCACTTCTCTTCTCTTCCCCATTTCGCTGCTTTGTTTCATCATTGTCGCTCCCTTATTTTATTATTTTCTTCCTTTATTTGTTTGAATCATGGCTGCTCACGCTACCGAAGAACCGTTCCCGTTTCACGGACTCCTGCCCAAGAAAGAAACCGGCGCTGTCTCTTACCTCACCAGGTTCCCCGACTACGATGGGCGAGGAGTGCTCATCGCCATCCTCGACACCGGCGTGGATCCGGGGGCCCCCGGCATGCAGGTACCTCTAACCGGTCGCCTCGTGTTAGCTTCTGCCGAGCTGCTAATGCTACTAGCCAAGAAGCTAAAAGGCCGATGACATTTGTACAGTCACTCAACAGCAGCATTTAGCCCGTTAGCTAGTTAGCTTAGCCGTGGAAGAAAGGCGAAACACCCTTATAATTTATATGACAGCCAAAATAATACAAATAAGGCAGTAGCAAATATTTTTACCTGCTATGAAATAGTGATTTAATACCAAAACAATGGGATTTTACAGTATTTAACAATAAAGTTAGCATGCTAACCTGAAAGCTAATAGCCGAATTTGACCGCTTACCTTACCGTGTTTACAGTTGTCAGTTGGTTAGAGTTACACACAAGTGTCTCTAGCTGCTAAAACAACTTATATTACCTTACCACGAGTTAGTTATCAGATAACTGAGGCTTTTGACGTTTTAGCTGCCCAATTATATTACAACATTAATTAGCAAGTGATTATAAAATAGTAATATTTTAGAAAAAATCGAGCATCCTTCCCAGTATAAACTTAAAGGGACATTAAAGTGCAGTTTAATAATAACACTGACTTAATATTAGAATTTATGAAGCTTAACAGATGAATAAATTCTGAATGAAATGCAATAAGGTGCTATAACAGGCTATGCAGTTACAGCAGTAATTACAAAACACATCTTAATCTCCTAATTTTATTCTGTAAATAGGTTTGTATGAAAGAAGATAAGTCATTGCAAAATACAGGAAGCTTCTGTGCGTCAATGTGGTTTGAGAGGGGGAGTCTGAAAGAAAGAAAATAGAATTGTAGAAATTATTTTTGCTTTTCTTGCTGCTTTAGGTCACAACCGAAGGGAAGCCAAAGATCGTGGACATTATCGATACAACAGGAAGCGGCGACGTGAACATGACCACAGTGGTAGAACCCAAAGACGGGACAATCRGCGGTCTCTCAGGCAGAACGCTTAAGGTTCTTTTATGTTTAAAAAACTTTTTTAAAACTGAATGCATAACTGCTGTCACCTCAGAAATGTTCTATTASACCTTCATCTCAAGCCATTTTTATATGAGCTTATGTTTTTTAAATGTCTTCCAGATCTCTCCTGCCTGGGTCAATCCATCAGGGAAGTATCACATCGGAGTTAAAAATGGCTACGACTTCTTCCCAAAGGCTCTTAAGGAAAGAATACAGGTAGGAATATATGACATAATTCCTGTTCTAGTTCCGTCATAGTTATATATTTTTCATTTTGTTTTATTTTTGTTTTTTTGCACAGAGCCTAGACCGCGCTTTCTATGTTTTTATGTGAATTTTTGTCATAATTTTGCAACTAGAAAGAGCGAAAAGAGAAGCTGTGGGACCCACCGCACAGAGCTGCCCTCGCCGAGGTTTGTCGCAAGACGGAAGAGTTTGACCTCGCTCATCCGACGCCCTTACAGGTCAGGCCCACAAACCCCGAACTCGTCGTGTTTTTCACRACTGCGGTTCACATCCATCATCCTGCCTTTCTCTCTCCAGATGGAGAAGCTGCAGAAAGAAGAGCTGCAGTGTCAGTCAGAGCTGCTGGCGTCGCTGGAAAAGAAGTACAGCGATCCTGGTCCGGTGTTTGACTGTGTGCTTTGGCATGATGGCACCTCGTGGAAGTAAGCCGTCCTCTTTTGTTACTTCACTACCTACTATTGTTTACCTGTTTACATTTATATACACTCACCGGCCACTTTATTAGGGACACCACGCTAGTAACGGGTTGGACCCCCTTTTGCCTTCAGAACTGCCTCAATTCTTCGTGGCATAGATTCAACAAGGTGCTGGAAGC